GAACATCTTCACCGCCCCAGGCTAAGGCGGTGATTGTTTCCCACGTTTCCCACTCCTGGTAGGTGAAAATTAGGTCACAACCACCTAAACTTCACCGTTTGAGACAGACGCGGTGATGTTGTTCACCGTTTTAGACAAAAAAATGGTGAAGTTTGGCCGATTTTCCTTTATATACAACGATCACCAGCAGTTGTAAAAACTTAATCCCTCCCCCCTCTTCAAATTTTTAGCAACCAAAACCGAGCAACATACACAGAACAGGAATTTTCAGTATTATTTAATTTTCGTATTAATTCCTAATGGTTGCACAAAGTGTAGCTCATCGTCTGCTCTCCGATATGGACATGGGTCTTCATGTGCGAACATTGGAAGATGCTCCCATACCCAGAGTTGGAGGATGAACATCGCAGCACCAGCTTGTTTCGCTCCCAACTTCGAGCAAGAACACAGCTCCCGGTATACGCCAGCTAACACGGCCGATCCCCAACTCTTTTCCCCTATTGCGTCCCAATCACCAAGGAGCAATGGCAACCATATGCCTTGAATCCATCGGTTTGACTTGTCGGGGAACAGAAATCCACCGACCAAACCAATGAGGTAGATGCGTGCATAGCGCTCCACTTGATCTTCCGGTGTCTCGTTGTCAATGGCCACCTCATTTTGGATGTGAGTAACGAGCCACGGGACTAACACTTGTCCCGCATTCAATGGTGGATGCCCCCGTCCTTGAATTGGTGTGGTGGTCGGCATGTCAAAGCCCAAACGATCACGAATGAGCGGCCCCAACCTCCTTCGGGTTTGGTATGATCCCAATGATGGCCTCTCCAGAAATCGGCAGCCCGTTGGGTCTCAGGACGCCATCGCTCATTTCCCCCTCTGGAAGGTGGAACGTATGGATCTCAGGACGCCATCGCTCCGCCATTGGCGTAAGCACATCGTTGTCGATTTCGATCCGCATGAAATGCCTTAGCATACCCAACCGGTCCTCTCTATATAGGGCGCCAACCGATCATGCCAAGAGGGCAAGTTTGTGATCCCTTTATGAACGACAGGAATAAGTGATTCCTACAAAAAAAATAGGAAAAACATCAATTTGTTAGTTTAAAGAAAGCAAAATAATACCTTAGAAAATAAAAAAATAAAACAAGATTAATCATGAATTACCGGATTGTTATCCCAATTAGCACGGGAGCGATGTACTTGTTGATCGTTAAATACCTCGTATCTCTTGGGCCATAATGGATATACAATCGAAGATCGTATATCACAAAAAAAAAAGCTACACGAAGAGCCTCTTCGTCCATTTTTTGGCGGAAGCCGAACAGAGGTTCGACGGGTTTGTAAGGGACGGGAGCTTAGCGGGACGTGGGCTTTAGAGTCAAACTATAGTAATTCTTTCGGATGTGGAAGATCGGACTTAGCCGCGACCATAGAGCATACTTAGAACGACTAGAGCGGATAGATTGAGGGAGAAAGAATTGTAAATGTGGTGGTGTGATTTGGAGGGGGGGGGGGGGGGAGGGTTCTATTTATAGGGAAGGATGGGAGGGATATGCGAAAATTAATGTGGAGCATTCACCGCGTCCCTCAAAGACGGTGAATGCATCGTCTTTTTCAAAAATGGTGACAGACGCGGATCGAGCGATGTGGCGTGCTGTGAGGCGTCAGATCTGGGAAGAAAATCATGATCCGCGCCTCACCGCATCCAACGACCACGGTGAGTGGGTCAGCGACGCGAATCGCTGACACAAACAAACACGGGCTATTCACCGTGTTTGTCTAACATGGTGAATACACTGCGTTTGTTTACGTCAGCGATCCTCGTCGCTTGATCGTGGCCAATCGAGACGGTTTAGTTTTCATCGCGTTTTATTAAAACTGTGATGATTTCACCGTCTGCGTCTAAAACGGTGATTGGCTCGCTCGTAATTCACCTTTTTTTTTAAACGGTGAATTGTTCACCGTGTTTGTCAAACGCGGTGATAGTCTTCATTGCGTTTGTCAAAAACTGTGAATGCCAAACATGTGCATTTTGGAAAATTTTTTTATAACTTATGTATTTTGGAAATTTTTTTTAAGAACTAGTGTAAAGTGGAATTTTTTTCCCCATCTACCACTATCTTTTTTTTTTCCCTTGAGGATGATATATTTGATTCCAATTCTTTCACCAGAATTATATCGTGAATTAAAATAATTTTGTAGATCGTTCATTATATGCAAAAAAAGTTTAAAAACCTAAGTTAAGATGAAGGAGATGAAGTGGTAGAGGGTGGTCAAGAAGATTGTTTCTCAAAATATATCGAAGATGTGTGCAGAATTTTAAATCCAGATTAAAAAAGGAGATACAACCCGAATGAAAAAATAAAAAATATCTCAACCTCACCCATCAGATTTAGCCTCATTCAAAATTAAGAGGCTAAATATGATTATATATGAATACATAGTCTTATTCTACCCTAATCCTAGTTATCGGTAGTTTAAATAGTTGAAATTGAGGGAGGTTAATCAATTGAGAGGAAAATGGTTTGCAATCCACCTTGTGAGTAAGTTGCCCAGAGCGGAGCGGATCAGATAAGTAATTTTATGGTGAGTAACAATGAGTAACCCGTCCATGTCAGAATGACATCAACATCCCACTTTCCCCGGGAAAGTCTATTATCTTTTCCTATTCAATCTTTAACGTACGATTTCTTCCCATTCAAAAAAATTGAGTCATTTTTTACCTGTCATTTACCATATGATATGCTCCTATTTAATACCATATGGTAAGAAAACGTACCATGATGGTATGAACATACCAATATAGTAGGAAGGTTGAATACATGATAGTAGGAGTATACTAACTGTTATTTACAACTTTCATCATTGTTTACTACAAGTTATCACCCACATACCATAGTGGTAAAGTATGGTAATTTTTTGTCATGTACTTTTTTCACCCATAAAGTTTTAGATCTAATAGATCATGATAAACTCGTTCCTTCTGAGCAAACGTTTTCAAAAGCGACTTAAAAACGAAGAAGGTACTATATGATATGTAGTTGGTAACGAGAGGTATGAAAAAAGTTTCTCAAAATATATTGAAAATTAATCTCATTTTATAGAGCACAACGAACTTGTTCCATCTGTGAAAAAAAATTGAAATCCGAATTATAACGAAGAAGATAAGAGCCAATTAAGAAAACTAGGGAAAATATAATGCATTTAATTGACAACCATAAGATCTGAATTTTCTGGGTCCACTTCGATTTAAAGGTCCAGATTTAATTATTTATAGGCTATGATCATTGACCAATGGTTATTGATCGTATTCCAAGGCCAAAGGGTGGTGTACACGACTAATAAATATGGTCGTGGAAACACGATTTTGGCAAGCAATGAAACTGGCGACGGTGAGAAAAGCTTATGCCGTCGCAAATGTTGGATGTTTGCTCATTCTTTGTCAGACGACAGTAGTTTAAGAATTGTATTTCATCTTTAATAATTCCTCCCTCAATTTAGAAGACATGTTGCCTCTTGTTTCTTCTCTCGGAAATGAAAGCCAAATACTCTTATAAACCTTGAAGACCACAAAAACAATGAAATGAAGTATTCAAATTGAAGGGAGCATCAATGGATATAATGTTGATATATATATATATCACCATATATATATATATTGATTGGGTAATTGAAATATTGAGTTAAAAATATCTTTTTAAGTAAGATTTTTAATATTTTAATACATAATGAATTATTAATATCTAATTCTAAGAAAATAAAAAATAAGTAGAAATATATTACGCTATTTCTATCATTCAACAAAATTAATAAATTTTATTAATGATATTCTGCATGTTTAATCATTTTTCTATGACGGTGAATAACATTAAAAATAAAGATGAAAACCCCTACAAAGGGCCAGTAAATAGTGATGATAATTTTTACTTGATCTGTGCAATTCGAATTTTCGTATATGTTTAAAACGGTTACTACCCGATTCATACTATAGTATGAGCCGGATATATACCATAATATTAGAAAGTTTATATACCTTTTGATTCAGCAGTTTTCGGAAATGAACAAAATCCTTTAACTGAAACAATCTCACTACTGTGAATATGACTCATTGCATCCATCAGTAAAATCGACAACTCAAAATTAATTGCAAACATATCAACTTCAAACAATCCAGCAAAAAAAAAAAAAAAAAATCGTGACAACAACGAACCTCAACTGGACTTCAAAAAGATCAATCTAAGCAAACAACATGCATCACAACAAAGAGAACAAAAAAAACTCATATTCAAGCACAAATACCTGACAAACCGCTAAATATTCACGTTGACTTATTGAGAATCCATAACCCATAATTATGCACCGAACTCTATACCTGGGTACCCATGCTATACTTGCCAAATTTTACCAAGTTTTTGGGCAAATATCATCCACGCATACCGACTTTCCAAACTGTACCAATTTATTGCCAAACATCCATGGTGAATAGACTCTCAAACGACTAAAGGATTCACAGGTTCTTGCTTCATAAACACCAACAGCATCGATGATGAAACGTTTATCCTCTTAGATTGTAATTTTTTTTTTTTTTTTGTAAAGATTAAGCCAATAAAGCAGACTACTTGATGGTCGGTCGTCCATCCACCACATAATAAATAAACTAGAAAGAAAATATGAAAAAGATAATATGATCAAATTGAAGGTCAAAGGATCGCCCAATCATTCTGTTTTCATACACCAGCTTGCTTGACAATCAATCTTTCCCCTAAAATACAGAGAATAAATAAATGATTTCCTTTGCACCGATGGCGTCACTCTTATTTCCGTGAACCATCAACGTCGAGACACCAGCTGCCTGTCAACGTATTTTAACAACTCCTCGCTAATTATTACTAACTAAATTAGTAATGCGTACAAAACCTAAATTGTACAGTCCTCATCTACGAGACGTGCCATAACGAAATCCATGCGCTATATAAACCATGCGCTATTCCATCCATTTCTGCCACCACTTTCTTCTCTATCTTTCTCTTCCTTTCATCTACTCATAATTCCAATCCTAATTTTCCGGCAATGGGAAGTCGTCGGAGTTTTCTCCGGTCGTGGTCTTCACCACTTTTTCTGTTCGTCGTAGTTGTTGCACTGGCAGCTACATCCGCCGACGGGTCTAGGGCGGCGCGGGTGCCTTGCTACTTCATATTTGGTGACTCTCTTTACGACAGTGGCAACAACAACAACCTCACCACGTCGGCGAAGGTCAACTACTCTCCTTACGGCATCGATTTTCCGGAAGGACCCACCGGCAGGTTCTGCAATGGACGAACCACGGCCGATGTCATTGGTGCTTAACATGATTTCATCAGTTATGTTGAACCACGTCTTTGTTTTCATGACGCGTCATTTGTTAATCAATTGACTTTTTTTTTTTTTTTTTGGGGTATGAAGGTGAAATTCTGGGATTTAAGGACTTCATCCCACCTTTTGCATCTAACCCTGACGACAGACAGATACTCGTAGGGGTCAATTATGCATCTGGGTCGGCCGGAATTCTAGTCGAGAGTGGAAAACAAGGGGTACGTAATTATAATTAGTTAATTTCTCCTTGTTCTTTTTTACTTACTCTTAATCAAGAAAATGATTATAAGTATCTCTATATTATTACTTTGAAAAAAATTTAAAAATGCCGCCAACACACTTACAAATTTATAATAAAATAACTTTGTTAACAAACAAACCATTTAGTTACAATAACTTGAGTTGTAACATATCATTCATTGCCGTGCTAAACGACTAGGCTTTCAAATCATTGTTCCAATTGGGGGTCACCATGATCACTCCGTTTCAAGGATGTGATACCATGTTAACGCACAAATTACTTAATCTCAATAACTCAAATTGTTGGGAAATGGGTTGTTAAGTTTTTATTTTTTATTTATTACAAACCCAATTGCAAATAGAGTTGGAATAATGAGTCCATGTACACGTATGAACTGTACAATCATATATTATTGATTAATATTTTCTACATAATAAGTTTGTTTTCAGAAGATGACGATTGTATATAAGTTTCAGTGCACCTTTGAAATTAAATTAATTTTGTAGGGTGACAACGTAGACCTGAGCCAGCAATTGAGGAACCACGAAGTGACTGTTTCGCGCATAGTTGAGATATTGGGGAGCAAAGTGGCCGCCTTTGAGTACCTAGGGCAATGCTTGTACATTTGCAATTCGGGTAATAACGATTATATCAACAACTATATTCTGCCCCAATCTACGGCCATCAGGAATCAGTACAACCCGGACCAATTCGCCGCACTTCTCATCACGCAATACTCTGCTCAGATTAACGTAAGTATACTCTTAATCACTCCTTTAATTTATATGCTAGCTTATAACCCGGCCTGTTGGCCGGGATGTTAATATTTTATTATTTATAATTTTATGTTAAGTTTAAGTCTATCAACCTGTTTAAATTTTTTGACAATCTTTCGATCGAGATGATACATGAAGAAATAATATATAGGTCGAACACTCGAAGAAATACCATCATCATTTAAGAATATAAAATATAAAAATGTATAATTGATTTCATTTTTATTTTCATAATGATAATATTATATTGGTTAGTTGATTGTCAAGAAATATAGAATATAAAAGCTCACTGGAATTACCACATGACCCATATATAGTTTGAAACTGAATCTAAAACCTCACAATCATACATAAAGGCTTCAATGCTCCACTTTTAGGAACAACATGCCACTAATAAAAAAGAAATAGAGAGTTGTTGGTTCAAGTCAACTACATACTACAAACTAAGCTAAGAGGTAACCATCAAAACTTGAGAGCAAACGACAAAATTAGGGTTATCTCTAATATACTAATAGACTTGATCAAAGTCATAAGACACAAAATTAGACACTCCTTTTCTATAAGTTTTAGTAGGTTGAATAAAGAATCGACCTAATTCAGTAAATCAATCAATGATTTCTCGTTTAAGATAGAAATAGGTTGTGGTAGCTGCAAAAATCATAAACCTAAAGAGCCAATAGTCACCACTCTCCGTTGAACGACCAAATTTTTATCCACTCTTCTTTAATCTCAAGAGGCATATGTTTCAACCAAACAACTTCATTTCTGCTACTTTGATGGACCTTCTCTCCGTGGCCCTCAATTTCTCTTCCATTTGAGGGTCTTGTCAACTCGCTCTTCAACTTCTCAATCTTCTTCTTGTGTTTGCCAACTCATCTTCCTCGGGGCACTTGTAATAAGTTCGCTAAAATCAACACATATCTCCAATTCCATCAATATGTTCATCTCCCCCTTGTTTGCCTTCACCTGCTTTAGTCCACTTCCGTGTCATTCAATAACCTCTCCATTTTCATTATTATCCTCATCATCTCTCACTTCTCTCTCTTTAACTGCTCCAGTTTCTCTTCCATGTCTTTCAACACTCACCTCAATTCATTCACTACCCTCTCCAACTCCATCTTTTCTGCCTTCACCTGCTGCAGTGGAACTTTACCTGCTACCAAATCGAAACACAATTTCTTCCCCCACCACTTCCATTCTCAAACTCAATATTGAACTCCATTCTATTCGTCATGGATTGATATCGAATTTGAAATTTTCTATTTGCCCAACTTAAATCCCCAAAATAAAACTGTCTTGCCAAGATAAACCGGAAGATTAATTTTCAAATGAGACGTTGCACTGGGAAGTGAAAGGGCAAAATTATTGCACGATGGAGGGACATTCGGAGGAAGTTATAAAGAGATAAGAACAAATATAAAAAAACTCAAAATTTAAATTTAAAAATGCAATAACACAAGACGTAGTAAAAGAAATAGTTTCTTCCATGTTAGCCAATTACAAATTTACCTAAGCAAAAATTAAAGAGAGCATGAATTTTAAAATGGATAAAATTACATGAAACTCTACTATGGAAATTAAAGTAGTAAGCACCATAAAAATATATACGGTAGACTTAGTGGGCTTATTGATCATGCTGTTAAAGTCATTCACTTTTCAGAGTTTAACTTAGTCTATATTTTGTATAAAATAGAAACAACAAATTTGTTTATTGTAGTTGGTTATGATTGTTGTCTTTGTTTGAAGAGACTCGGGTTCAAATCTTGATATTGATATTTTTATTTGAAATAAATAATTAATTGTAAAGACAAACATGACCTTCCTACTTTCACTCTCGTTACAGGAAATTTAAAATGGAGAAAATTGCACAAAACTCTACCATATATTAATGGAGGATGGTAGTGGGCTAGTGGCTGACATGTACTCTAGAGTATATCGTACTCTTAGGACTAGTAGTTTGAAAATTTTGGGTCTAAATGTCTAAATTGTAAACAATCCAAAATTTAAGAAATTTGAAATGGAGAAAATTGCACAAAACTCTACCATATATTAATGGAGGATGGTAGTGGGCTAGTGGCTGATATGTACTCTAGAGTACATCGTACTCTTAGGACTAGTAGTTTGAAAATTTTGGGTCTAAATGTCTAAATTGTAAACAATCCAAAAATTTAAGAAATTTGAAATGGAGAAAATTGCACAAAACTCTACCATATATTAATGGAGGATGGTAGTGGGCTAGTTGCTGACATGTGATCTAGAGTATATCGTACTCTTAGGACTAGTAGTTGATTCGTGTTATAAATAGAGATACCTTACTGACAGTGCCTAGAGTATCTTATAGTACAAAAATATACTAGTCTGTGCCATATATGATAATGACTGTAGAAAGCGGTTTAAAAATTTATCAATCCAACTGTGTATAAGGGTTAAAACCGGATAGTTAAATTAGTATAATATTGTTCACATTGATGCAAGCCTGCACAAAATTACTCTTGGGTTCATTTCCAAGACACCGCGTACTATGGAGTTTGGTGAATAATAATATACAAGAATAATTATTTTACCATGTGGTACTTGGAGCGAGTGTTTCATTAAATATATTATGGTACGATAATGATAAAAAGTACAATTGGTTTGTGCAACTTATCTTGCATTGATTGATAATATATAATCTCAATTTTTGATTGCGTGTTCAGCGGCTGTACGAGTTGGGAGCAAGGAAGGTGGCGCTGGCTGGAATTTCGAACATCGGCTGCACTCCAAGTTTGATAGCAACCTTGGGGACTAACGGCGCCCCCTGTGTTAACTCAGTGAACCAACTAGTGGTTCCATTCAACACCAGACTAAAATCGCTTATCAGCCAGCTCAAGTTAAGTTATCCCGACGCCAAATTTGCCTACCTCGACAGCGTACGGGTTGGCACTCTTGTTGGCGCAGGTAATAGATTGATAGTTTGATACTCTCTTAAGTCGTTTGGCAATTTGATTTTCTTCGTCTCAATAATAATGCGTTGCGATGTTTTCTTCTTTGTTTTTTCGTTTCGCAGCGTTTAGGATAAGAGCGACGCCGTGTTGTCAAGTTAGTACAGTAACGGGGCTGTGCCTTCCGAATACGGTTCCTTGCTCTCAGAGGCCATCATACTTGTTCTGGGACGCATTCCATCCCACTGAACTCGCGAACCAGCTCGCTGCGCCCCTTTTCTTTCCGGCCATCCAACGGATATTGTAAAATTGCTACTCTGCCCATTATTGCCTGATCAGCGCGCAGTTAACCTTTGGACTAGTGATTTTTAATACTGTTGGGGAATAAGTTACCTGTAAGCAAATGGGTGTTTAAATTAACAATAATTAAGTGAACTAGATAATTGGCCCGCGCGTTGTGGCGGGATTCTATATAATATTTTTTTTCTTGATTTCTTGGATCATTTGTGATATATAATTTTTTAAATGAACCTTTACATTTGTGATTTGCCACATAAATAATTCAAACACTAAATCAGTTAGGAGAAAGATTATGAGATTAATTGGTTGGATGTATTATAGAGGCGAAATTTGGAAAATAAAATGTTGAATTATTCAATTAATCGCATAATTTTTTGTTAATAACTTTAATATGTTTGAGTATTGCAATCTCGAATACTTAGAGATAGGAAGTATACCAAAACTCGCTCTATAAAAGTAGGTTCCCAACTTCGAAGTGTCTTTTAAACCTTTCTTACATATTTTTAAGCCTGAATACATTAAACCAAATGATATCTTTGTAAAATATTAATACATCATCTTACAAATACATTGAACCAAAGCCAACAAAGTTGATTTTGTAAATCAATCTATTTTTTTAAAACCTAAATGGCAGGATTTGGGAGATAATTATTGTTATAATTTAGTTATTGAGGAAATTAACATGATAGAACATATTAAAAGCATGGCTCTTTAAATTGACTTAATTTTTTATTATAGAATTATATGTAGTTTTCTTTATCAGAAGTCACTTGTACATCATCACTCGGCTGGATCTGATCAACTAAAATTGACTCCACCTATCTTATAATGAAAACTGACCGACTTAGTATCAAGTTATGTGATTAGTAAATATGCACTATTGAAATTGACATATTATCATTTTAAATAACTTCTTAAATTAATCTAAAAGTATAAAATAACTTTCATTTTTTTACAATTTTCATGTTAGCTATAAATATATTATAGAAATGTAATGATTTGATACTTTGTCTAACTTGATATTAGCATCCGTTGTGTGATAATAAAAAATTATGTATTACTTAAGATTTGGATCGAACCATTCTATCATTATGTGTTTAAAAATAAACCTCTGAATATTGTTATTTTCTTAATCCACAAATCTTCTTTCTAATCTCATAGGCTCCCTTCCCTTTCACTACACCAAGACCCATGACCTCTTACACGTGGAGGAGATGAATGACAGGTGGCAACAAATGTCAATCAGCCGAGCTCGATACATTCCTTCTCCTCTATCTTTGTGACTGTTCTCCTTGCTTTGATTTCTTTTATCTGACATCAATAATCCTAAACGAACTACAGAGAATCGACCAGTTGCATGCAATTGGGATCCAAATCCCCTTTTCTCAATGAGTGAGCAAAAGTGCTGGTTCCTTGCTTTTGATCCCTCTCTTATTCATCTTCATGTCGAAATTATCGGCTAATTGTGGTTGCTTCTTCCAATTACCCTCCGATCCTGATTGTGACCCTCTTATTTTGATTACCCAATACCATCGGTAACAAAAGAGAGAGCCCCAAGTTTGTTACTTCAGCACGACGGTTCTGGATTTTGGGATTGGGAAGCTTGTGAATCCGCTGGGGAATTATTATCCATAAACAGTAGTCAATTAATTGAACATGCAATACGGAGGCGTACAGACGACGATAGTGTGTCACGAAGGAATTCTCCAGGATGAGGTCGAGGAATCGATGACGCCGAAGCAGTCTTTGACTTCCCCTTCTCTCCCCTTCCTCTTCTATAGGATCTCCGACAATGCAAGGATCAACGCCAAGACGACTGTTATACTATCATCGACGATACTATCATCGACGATTTTCCTAGCCGGCGGCCGGCCCCCTGCATCCATCTTCCGAACACATTGGAGCTAGTCTGAAATAGGGAAAAACACGATCCATCACAAACCCCACTTTCGCCAGGACGAAGATCGGAGAAAAGCCGAGAGAGAGAGATCGGGAGAGGGAATAAGGCGATCCATCATTGACCCCAGCTTCGCCTGGAGGTAAAGAAGGGAAGAATCGATGGCGGCCACTTGCCTCGCCGCCAATCGGTCGACGGGGGGAATCATCGGAGTAGGTAAGAGTCGTAAAAAAAAACATGAGTTTGGAAAAAAGATTGCCTGGATCGACAGTCAATATTGAGTCCGCAGGAGGCTTATGGTGTAACTACCCGTAGCCCACTGGACCCCTTAAGTAAACTGGCCAATTAATTATACTAATGGTTGGGTCCAAATCCACCGTGCATTGTATTTTCATAACAACTTCTGTTTGTTTTGTTTTTTTTCTCTCTCCCTTGTAGCTCAAGAAAATAATGTTGTACCATGTCTTGAAAGAATTAATCAAAATGCCTATAGATTGTAAATGTGCTAAGTGCTATCGTGGTCTTTGGGTACCAGATCAGATAATCGAACCTAGTTTAATCACTTCACTAAGAAGGCTAAACTATTCAGTAAAAATTTCTGTAAAATAAATTTTTGAACAAGTCACCAAAGTATTTATTAATGGCCCAAAACTTGAAGATCAATTTCGACGCTGCTGTTTGTGGATCAGACGGACATGTGGTGTTGGCGTTCGGGTTATAGCATCAAGGAATAGTCAACTCTTCCCTCGCAGAGCTCCTAGCCACTAGGGTGGGTCCATTTAGATAAATTATACATGTTAATTTTTTTTTGGTTATATTGTTAAATGATTCATGATATAATCTTATATTTGAATTTGTTTAGTAGCCGAAATTATCAATATTATGTGTACCAAACAATCATTCATAATTTAATTAGTAGTTTGCTCTCAAATAGTGTTCTTTGTTAAGAATCATTTAGTATCATAACTCGAGTTGTTCAGAGAAGTTTAATATTAAATCTTTACCAAGTACAAATAAAATTGTGTATAGTTATAGAAATTTTTACTCTATAGCTTAATCGTTTGGGTTTGTGTTTGTCCAGAGAGACGAGCTGCATTTTAGCTATAGCTTTTAAGTTTTGTCTTTTTTTAAATTTTGACTTTGGGTAAATACAATTTATTAGCTTTTTTGTTAGGGTTGAGAAATAGCCAAGAATCACTGAGTCAGCAGTGAGCTTCTCTGTTCTTTTATATAAGCTAGTAATCTAGGATTACAGATTGTTGTCACGTGTCACATTTGCGCTGGCTATATTTAAACACTAAATAGTGATTTAACGGCTAACCTCTATCATAAGCAAACTAGGCAAGGGCACCTTGACACTCAGTTCCTCCAACAAACTCTTCAACCATTGAATCTCACACACTGTTATTGCCAAAGCTCTGTACTCAGCTTCTGATGATGATATAGAAACAGTGGTTTGTTTCTTAGTCTTCCAGGTCAGCAATGATTTCCCCAGGAAAGTGCAATAACCAGTGGTGGATCTTCTAGTGTCAGGACAGCAGCCCAATCGGAGTCACATAAAGCAGTCAGCTTTAATTCTGGATTACTGTCAAAATGAATAACTTGACCAGTCCACTCTTCAAGTATCTTAGAACCCTGTGAGCTGCTTGAAGGTGTTCTTCATGTGGTTTCTTCTAGAATTGGCAAAGTTGTTGCACAAGAAATGCCAAAACTGATATTGTTATAGTAATGTAGTGTATTATTCCTACTAGCCTCGTGTATTGTTCTGCATCTATCAGAGGGGTTCCATGTGTTGTTGATAATCTTACCTTGTAGTCTACTGGTGTTTGACAACCCTTAGATTCCAGGTAACCTGTTTCATTCAACAACTCTAGGCAGTATTTCCTTTGACAAACACTTATACTACTTGCAGTCCTATTAATCTCCAGACCAAGGAAGTACTTCAAAGGGCCAAGTAAGTTTCATTTTGAACTCCTGGCTCAGAGCCTTTTTGACTTGCTCTATATCATTCAAAGTATCCGCTCCATGATATCAACATAGATGAGCATCACTACAATTATACCTCTAACCCACTTTGTAAACAAGAAATAGTCTGATGCAGATTGACTAAAACCATTAACCATTCTTCAGCAGAAAAGTACTTAACCTGGCAAACCATTGTCTGAAGGCTTGCTTCAGGCCATACAAAGATATCTTCAACATGCAAATCATTTTGTGTGATCCAGACTGTTCTAAATCCAAACCTGGTGGCAACGGCATATAGACTTCTTCATTTAAGTCGCCATGAAAAAAAGGCATTTGAGACATCCATCTACTCCAATGTCCAATTTTTCATAAAAGCAATTGCCAGAAGAGTTTTCACTGAGTTTATTTTGGCAAGTGGAGAGAAAGTGTCTAGGAAGTCAATTCCATAGACTTGTGTGTATCCCTTAGCCACGGGATGGGATACGGTCACAACCCCCAAAGGGGGTTGTGAGATTGACCATCCACTTCCTAGCCATTAGATACGCTCTCTCTCCTGTCTCTTTCTTCTTTTTTCGAATTGATGGTTAGGATTAAAGGAAGGGTATTTTTGGAATGAAAAAAATATTACCACATAGGATATTTTCTCATTTTCTATATAATCTATTTTCATAAAAAAATAACTCCTATCACCCCTAACACATGTCCTCTCTCCCCAAAATCCTAGCCGCCTCCTCCCCCTCCGTCTCTCCATGTCACCGCCGGCCGCCGGCTCCATCTCTCCCTCCTCCCACCACCATAGCCGTCGCAGCCTTCGCCTCCCACCATCCTCTGTCGTCATCGTCGCAAAGGTAACGACCTCTCCCGTCATCTCTCCTCTCGTCGGTGCATCTCTCCTTCTCTCTCCCATCATTCTCTGTCGCCACCCTCATCCACTGTCGCCGTCGCCGCAGAGATAACGATCTCTCCCCTCCCTTCACCTTTCATCATCCCTTAATTTTTTTCCAGATCTGGGATTTTCCAGATTACAAATCTGGTTTTTTATGTTAATCTCTAGTGGTACTAACTTTTGTCTAGTGGTATGGTACCAGTGGTACGCTATCAGTGGTAGTGGTAGCGTATTACTACTCACTGGTAGCGGTACCAATGGTAGTGGTAGCGTACCACTACTCAGTGGTAGCGGTACCACGTTACCACTACCACTGGTACCGCTACTAATGGTAGCGGTCGCATACCACTACCACTGGTACCGTACCACTAGACGGAAATCAGTACCACTAGCGCACTGACGGAGTGATTTTTTTTGCAGATCGCCGGAGCGAATCTTATTGGAGGATTTCACCGGGAAAAAGTCTGCCGGTCGGAGAAAGTTTGACAATCGGAGC